CTTAGTACGAGGGTCGCTAACTAGCCTGCTGCCTTCACGAATTGGGGAAACACCTGAGCCATCATTCCTCTTTGAGTTGAGCCTTATGCCTATGAGCCAGACTTACAGTCAGGGGCGGACTGGCACCTTGTGGGCTAGCCACAAGTGCCCTTCTCGCTTAGCACTACGTTGGCGAGAGGTCCTACGATGTGTAACAGTTGGAGAGCCTGGTCGGTTTACTTGTGGGCTAGCCACAAGTTCCCTTCTCGCTTAACACTACGTTGGGTACGGCGACGTGTAACACTAACAGTCGGAGAGCCTGGTCGGTATACTTGTGGGCTAGCTCTAGTAACTATCACTGGCAGCAAGAACAAGCCCGCACCTGCAGCTACAGCACACACGCGGCCATTGACTATATATAACAACATGGTGCCTAACTCGCCGCCGCACGGACCACAGCTCACCGTTTTCAATCAGTTACAACTCCGGTGTTCCTGCAGGTGACGCCACTTTCCACCGGAGGGAAAGCGCGCTCACACGTAGCCTGAGACACGCTTAACGTTACAAGGAATTTGTACACGATATACAGGTTGTCATGCGCAGAATTGCAGAATCGGTAGTTGTGCACTAATTTGAGGACACACGAAAAACAATTCTTGCAAACACTGTCTTTCGTCTTTTGATAGATCTATATCAGTAGTATCAGCTTCCGTATCCGTAGCATCTCCATCTGACATGTCAATGTCATCGATGACTTTGGCATCCACCGAATCACTGGTCGATGGTATGCCATTTTTCATATTATTGTAATTTGATGCCAGTGAGACCAACTCAGTTTTCAAAGCTGCTGAATCGACTTCGGGGAGACAACGCAAAATTTGATCACACTGTATCAGATCTGGGTCAGAGACGATTTCATTAAATTGCGACGGGTCGAAACACGAGTTCTTTGTATAAATCACCATGCGCCATGAAACTGGTCTCGATGCTGGATGATACTTTATCCAGAATTAGAATTATGTTGTGGCAATTAATTTCGAAAGACTTAAGCGGGTCGGCGGATGAACGGCGCCCCACCACGTGATTGGTGTTAATGAAGATATCTTCATCAATGTCTTCCATTTTCTTATTTACGGTTGCGATGAACTCTGTGGTAGTTTTGTGTACATGATCGAAGTCCCTCAAGATATTCCTCAAGCATTTGGTTGCAGCTTTGATCATCCGCCAAGACTGCAGAAGATCCAATCCGGGCATTTGCAGGTAGTCTGAGACAGGGGTAATAATATAGAATATTCTCGAATAGATGAATGCCACAATGACCGTTTCAAATTTGCATAAATTATCTAATATAGATTTCGCCTCATGGCGAACGGCTTGTCGAAATTCACTTTTCAAGTCAATCAGCAGATCAAAAAATATCGCCTTATCTTGATCTCTGTATGAACCGAATATTTTTCTCAGCGCTCTACTTCGACTCGACCATCTGGTGTCGCCAATCCTTTCCAACTTTACCAGTTTCTGGTGGGACTTTTTAGTCTGCATCTGTCTCTCCCATTCCTCCATCCTCTTGTAGGATTCTTTAAAGAATTTTTGACATTGGGTGAGTAAGCCAAATAGTGTCACAGCGGGAACACACACGCTACTAGCATCACTGATAACAAGGTTGAGAACGTGTGCATAGCACCAGGTATGGATGTGGCTTGCGTTGTTCTGTTTTAGGATAGCCTGTAATCCCCCGTAGGCACCGCTCATGTTGGCGGCCCCGTCAAAGGCATCCGAAATGCAGGTTGCCAAATCTAGTCCGATTTCGGTCAGGGATGTTTCCAGGAGGTTATGCATGCCTGTAGCCGTTGAACTCGTAACATTTACCACACGCAGCAAAGTTTCTTTCACAATATCATCATGTACATATCGACCAACGATCGCGCATTGATCATGGGCGCTTATTTCTTGTGATGAGTCGAGTTCTACGGACCAACGGCCAGCCTCTTTTATCTCTTTTGCACTTTCCTCTTTTGCACTATGTGAATCATAGTTCCAATGATGTTGAAAAGTCTGTTCAAACTCGTCTTGCTGAGAAATGAAACAAAATCTCCACGACCCCGAGATTCATTCTTTTTGTCTCTCGTTTTTTCAATAAGTTTCACGAGGTGATTATTCAACGTTGGGTTGTATTTCCGAACTAACGAATCACTAATTCTGCGAATGATTAAAGTTAATTACGCTTCGTGAAACAGTCACTTCAGTTTAAGTACGGGAAGTTAATCATGATTAGTGATTTAATCATGATTAAGGACTTAATTACGCTTCGTGAAACCGGCCCCTGGTCCTACGCTGACCTAACAGCGCAGCGTGAATCATGCACGCTAATCTCAAAGCTAACAGCGAACCCTCACCCCTCCATCATTTTTCTCATTCTCATCTTCATTTTCTTCTCATTTTCATCATTCTCATTTTCTCATGGATTGGAAAAAGTCCTCGGATTTTGGGCACAATATTTCTTTTGAGGCTCATGGGCCCCTTGGCCCTCTGGGCCCTCGGGCATTGCCCGATTTGCCCGAGGGGCAAGTTCGTCCCTGCTTACAGTTACCATACAGCTGACAGTTGTATGGCGGATTTGGAAAGTGACTGTGTAACAGTTTATGTCGCAAGACCCACCGTCTTGGTGGTGCGTGCTCAATCCTACTAGGCTACTACTCTAGTCTAGCTTTTGCACCCGGATTAGATTAGCAATAGCATATATGCGAACTATATATACAAGGGCCGACGTGCGTAGGTATGCATCTGTTAGTTTTTTAGCTCACCTTGACATCGTCAAGATGAGCTATTGGCATGGGTCGTCGTCCGTCGTACGTCCGTCCGTCCTTCTGTCAACATTTGGCTACGGTCAACGATAACTCAGGAACCGTTTGACCCACATGTTTGAAATTGGGTATAGTTGTTACTGCTATGGGAGAGGTTTGAACGTCCTATTTTCGAGCACGCCAGTCGACGTACTTTCGAGCCACGGCAATTTTTTGGCAAAAATGGAAATTGTTATTAGTCAGTTCTGGTTCAACGGATTTTGTTCATTTTTGGTATGTGAATGAATAAGGGCTGGGCCCCAAAACGTATTACAGGGGTTTTCATATTTAAAAAAAAATTATGCAAATTAGGTAGGTTTTGGCAATTATATAGCATATTATATAGACTTGCAGATAGCAGTCTGTGGTGTCACATCCCTAGCACCCAACTGCAAAAATTATGTAACAACTTAGAACACCAATCAGAAGCTAAATGCGAGAAGGGAACTTGTGGCTAGGCCTAATCATACAAAATGTAATACAAAATGCATCCATAGATACGTACTAACCCAAGGGGTTAGTATCTATGATGCATCTAAAATGCCTCCTCTAAAAAGCGCCGGCCATCTACCACCATTTTTATGGTATAATTTTAGCACTGTAGCAGCACCGTATCATTGTTTTTAACAGAAAAATTCCATATATGGCTGCTAATCTAACAAGATAACTCTATTTTACTAGTAGTAGTATTGTGTACGGCAACTAAATAGTGTACCTCCGCCAGCTGATCCCGTCCCCCGTAACTTTCGAAAACTCTACGACAGAACAGATGACTACTGCGCATTGCAAAACAAGAGGCGCCTGCGCGCATGCGCACTTATGAGCGTCCAGTTTCGGGCGAGCGTCCAAACTCTACGCGTTACCAGGCAATGCGCAGGGAATGGCTATATGTTTTGATGTTACCTCGTAACCACGTAAGTAATAGTCTTTAAAGTCCAAGGAACTATATCGAAGACGTAGAGACAAGTTACCGCTTAACAATCTAAAATCACAAAAAAACAATCTTGGTTTAGGCCTTGCCCTTGCCCTTGCCTTGGTTTTGGCCTTGGTTTAGGTCTTCTTCAAGTTCTTGGTTTAGGCCCCAGACTTACGCTGAGAGAGAGAAAGAGGGCCTATGTCCCCCGGGGTATAGACCAACCTTCAACCCAACCCCAACCCCAACACCTTCAAGATGACCTCTGTCAATTTTTAAGACTGTACCCCCACATTAACCAAACTCACGACATGGGTGTGTAAACGCTACTTTGAGCATAAATGGCCCCTTAAAAAATTAGGAAACATAAAACCTAAAATAACATCAGAATATAACAATTTTTAGGGCACAATTTATTGGTCTACCCGGGGTACTGCCGGCCGGAACGTACCCTGGGTACGGTCCGGTATACCGGAACGTACCCTGGTAGTGGTACTATCTAACATGCCGGACCGTACCTCGCCTACTCCACTAACGAGTCTAGGGAGTCGCCTACGCCTACTCCCTAACCCGAACCCGAACCATATTAAATAGTGACCAGGGTACGTTCCGGTATACCGGACCGTACTCAGGGTACGTTCCGGCAGTACCCTGGGGGACATAGACCCGATCTGGATCTGGCTAGTTTCCTGCGTAGCCCATGGTTACGTGGATAATAACGCAGGGAGGTGTGCGCTTAGATGTTGTCGTCAGCGGCAGTGGAACAGATAAGGTCTATCTCGTCCTCAGTACGCTGGTTCCACTGTTGAATAGTTCTCGGAAAGAAGGAATGGCGAAACTCTTCGGTGTTGACTCGCATTGTTTGAAGTTTCCGACTGTTCTTACTGCGTGTTTGCGGGCGTCCAGGTTTGGTATACTGATCTGCTGGTACCGCCACTGAAGAAGACATTATCTTCTTCATGAATGCTATGCGCTGATCGCTCCGCCGCTGAGCAAGAGAAGGCCAATTCAGAGTTCCTAGCATTTCAGTAACGCTACTGTCACGCCGGTAGTCTCTACATACGAACCTGGCTGCCCTTCTCTGAACTTTTTTCCAACTTATCAATATTTTTGACCAGGAACGGATCCCAAACAATAGATGCAAGTTCCAATTTTGAGCGAACTAATGACTTATATGCAACCTCTTTGAGTGTTTTTGGAGCAAATTTCAAATTTTCAGTTGCAACCGAGTGTGCTGTTGGCCTTTGCGCAAATCGCACTGATGTGGTCGTCCCATTTTAGGTTGAAGGAGAAGTTCAGGCCGAGGTACTTAGTGGTGGTCACTTCCTCTAAGATATGCTTATCCAACTCGTAGAAGAAGGACAATGGAGTACCAGCTCGTCGATGGATTCGGAGTATGTTACACTTCTTTGTATTGAATCGCATGCCCCAAGTTGATGCCCCGTCGTGAAGGCGTTCCAGGTCTTGCTGGAGCTCTATCTGGTCAGCGATCGATCGGATCTCTCTGTAGATCAGGCAGTCGTCGGCGAATAGCCTCACTTGGGATACGACGGCGTCAGGAAGGTCATTAATGTGGAGTAAGAAGAGTAGAGGGCCCAAGACAGTGCCTTGAGGTACCCCAGACTCCACCTCCTTGGAGAAGGCTGATTGAAACTGTTTATTTAAAAGTTCGGCCTTAGTACGAGGGTT